AAAGTCTTATTTTTCGTTTTATTCTCATAATTTGTGATTATACTTCAAAACAAATACAGAGAAAACTCTATTCTTAGTAAAATAGAATTTGAAAATAATTTTAATCATAATCGAGGCTAAATTTTGTCTAAACTGAAACTCAGTTAAAATGATATAAAAACATGGGAAATCTGGTCTTCAGTTGGTGTGAAAGCTGTACTTTGTGAAAATGGCTCGTTTCAGCGAAGATAAACCAGCTCATTTTCACAAAGACAGCAGCTGTTATGAACAGTCGAATTTCGCAGAAAATAGTCGCTTTTCGAATGAAATGAAAGAAATAGTTTCTTGAAAATTTCAATGACATGTTTGATTCATTGTAGAAAGATTTCTTCATCCACGTGAATGATGTTAAAAAGAAGCATTTTATATCCTTTGTTAGATGAGCATTAATATTGCCAGCATTTGATTCTAACTTGTTATTCTAACTTGTTATTCTAACTCTTGGTCATGTCTTTGAAATATACGATTTTGAAATATATTTTTTTCTAAATTTGTTGATGTTATGAATAAATGTTAGTATATTTTAAATAGCTTATGCTTATAAAATATTTCTAGAATTGGGGCCAGCTGTTTCAGAAGATTTAATTAAAATTTTATATTGAAATTTCTGACTTTCTTTCCGATGTCCAGTGTTCGACTGTGAGAGGGAATCGCTTATCTTTTTTCTAAGCTACCAACATATTTTGTATGCTCACATATCGATTTATTTTGTTTCGTTTTTCTGTGTATTCTCTTCTATTTAAATAACTATAAAAGCATAATATATATATATATATATATATATATATATATATATATATAAAATAAAAAATAAATGCCTAGACTTCATTCAGTGTATATGTGGTGGCGATTGACTGAGTTTGTATTGGGTTACATAAATTATGGTAGACAAAACTGAAAAGCTAATGAAATAAGAAAAAAAGGTTATGTCTCAAAAAATGTTTATTGTTTAATAAATTTTCATTATTTAGAAACTTGATAAAAAATGACACGAACACAATAAATATTTAATAAAAATCTTTCTTTAATGAAACTTGTGTAAGAGAGGGATTTCCCCAATATATATATATATATATATATATATATATATATATAATATAATATAAAATATAAAATATTGTTTCAATGTATACTGTATTAATAAGTTAGTGCTCAATATCAGGGATAGAGCGTATGTAGATATAAAAATTAATATTGGATTCCACACCCAGCGGCGACACCCTGTTTCATGTTTATACGCAATTGTCAGGACATACGTCTATACACACACACGCCACACACATCGTACTATATATATATATATATATATATATATATATATATATATATATATATATATATATAGTACGATGTATATATATATATATATATAATTATTTATTTAAAAATATGATTCCTTCGCTACATAAGTGTTCTCATGTTTCAAAACAAGAGCCGAAATCTTCAATATAATTATTAAAATTAATTTGAATTAAAGTACTAAGCTCTGTTCCAACTTTAAGCGAAATTTTTGGAATAACTAATTCTTGATATTTACCCGTTTTTATAAGCATATTCATTATTAAAATTAAAATTACTGTGCTAACGGCTAGAGCAATTATTTAAATAAGGGCTTAATGGTTAATAATTTGCATCAATATCTCAGTTACATTCAAAGATGTCAAGTCAAGATAGGGTTGGGGTGTCTAAATTTAAAGCGGAAGATGACATCGTCTAGTCTGGTTAACCGTTAAGTGTCTATGGAGATTTATTTATTGTTTTATTTCATTTTCTTTCCTGAAAGGGTTTTGTGTATATAAAACTGTCATAATTTGCTAACATTTGTTTTTTGACAAGTTCATAAAGGTATTTTTTTTTATTGGGTAGGGCTTCTAAACCTTTTATTTAGACTATGGAGTTTAAAATTTGTATTTATTAATTAATTGATTGTTTGTTTTTATGCTAATTATTTAATGCAAAAATTTGATGATGTCGGCAAAACCCGTTAACACATGTCTATTGTTTAATAAATTTTCATTATTTAGAAACTTAATAATGTGTAGTTTTTCATGTAGCCATAAAGGGCATGGGTCATTCCAACATTTACAAGTTCTAGTTTTGTTTATAATTTTCCATTTTACTTTTGGTGATTTATTCATTTTCTTGAAATGCCAAAAAATATTTAGATTGAGATGTCTGATTTCTATTATTAATATTGTTGAAGGAGCTTTTATGCTGTCTCCTCCTGCTTTTAAATTCATTCTTCGTAGGCCCAATATTAGTGTTAGGACTCTCAGTGGATGAGATAGTACATTATTATACCACAAATGTTACGTGGAATATATTTTCTAATGGGCAGTCTTCAGGGTTTCTACAATCTCATAATTTTTAATTATTTTTGTCTAATTTAAGTTTAGGGTTTTTATTAATACTATTTTGGCATGTTTTTTTTTTCCAGGATTTTATTATTGTGTTTTTTTTTAGTATACTTTCTAGATATTCAGTGCAATTGTAACTTAATTTTAGGGAGATTTTATTAAAGATTTTGCTAAGTCTACTAATTGTAGGAAAGTGTTTTTCAATTAAGGCTAGGAATTTATGTCCAAGCTTAATACTAACCATTTGGTTGAACGGAGGGGTATACCAAATTATTTTTCTTTTCCCGTTTTTCTTCTGGTTAGTAAAATTGTTTGTATAAATGATGTTAGCATTTTTGTATCGACTATTTTTTTAGAGCTGTGTTATAAAAATTGCTGTGTTGTTGGAATATTTCTTTATTAGCGGAGTTCATACTGATTCTTTTCTCTATTGATGAGGATATATACTTAATTATGGATGGGGTGTGGTTAGACTTAGAGTGTACATACAAAGGGTTACCGTTAGGGTTTTCTATAAGGTAGGTATATGTTGTTCATTAAATCCAGAGTTACGTCGAGGAAGTTTACCCTTTTTAATTTTGTTTTCTAAATTCACTATGTATAATCCTTCTAATTTTCTCTATTTTAAAATTAGTGGAACTCCTCACTACCATGAGCCCGTCATCACTGTACAGACCGATATCCTGAATGTCTAATTTACGGTGCACTGTATAAAAAGACCGACAAGGTCAGAAGACACCGCAGAGTCTAAAGATCCCATAGTTATGTCAAAATGGTCATCAGTGTTTTTAATCCATTGGTCTCAATATGAGGACATATTTTTTTGCACCGAGAATTACATTCATTTCTTCCTTTGTCAGGTCAGAATTCACAGCAGCAAACTCCAGGGTAGTCGTGAAGAGATCCCTCGATATTCACTGGTAGTAATCCACAATATCGAACTCTATTAGGGTGCAATCAGGTTTATTATTAATACTGGTAAACCAATTGATGCCATCTTTGGTATTAATTCAGAGTTTGAATCCAAGGTGGTTTTTAATTTACCTAGTAATTCTTTCTAGGATTCATTTGCTTATCTTTCCGATGTCAGGTCGCGTTGGGTTAATCATTCTTGTAGTAGGGTCTTCCATAAAATCTTACTTGTTGTCCTTAAGAGTGATGTAACATTCCTTTTCAGCAAGTTTGCCTACTATCGCTAATTTTTAATATTTCAGTAATGTTTTTACTAGTTCTGTTAATACTATCAACCATATTTATGTTGTTGCTGTGAGCTTTTTTATAAGTTCTAGTTATTTTTTTTAATTAAGTTGTTGTAGTCATCTGCTGTCAATTTTTGCCAATTTTGTCAGACTTAACTAGTATTTTATCACAATCATTGATGCTTTAACTATTTGGTCTAGATGTTTCTTCTTCCTATTTTCTATATATTTTCACACACACACACACACACACACACATATATATATATATATATATATATATATATATATATATATATATATATATATATATATATATATACAGTAAGAGGAAAAATAGACGCACCCATAAAAAGTCGATTAAAGGGTAAATTGCAAGTCTTCCAGTGGCCTAGTCAATGTCCTGACCTTAACAAAATTGAAAACCTTTGGGCGATAATGTACAAGCGTGCACGTAATAGGAAGGTTAACACATAATATGAGCATTTTTGCGAATTAAAGGAATGCTGGGAAGATCTTGCGAAGGAGGTTAAATTACTAAAGAATTTAGCCTATAGTATGGCACGAAGAATTGAGGCCGTCCTTAAAGCAAAAGTTTACTCAACAAAATACTAAATCATTTTGGACTTGTATAATGTACATATGTACACCTGCATTCATACCTTGTATTATTAAATTAATTCTATTACTCACTTGTCTTGAAAAAAATTTAAAAAAGGCTTTCTATGGGTGTCTCCATATTTTGCCTCTTACTGTTTATATTATATATATATATATATATATATATATATATATATATATATATATATGTGTGTGTGTGTGTGTGTGTGTGTGTATGTGTGTATGTATGGTGTATGAACGTGATTCTATATATATATATATATATATATATATATATATATAATATAATATATATATATATATATATATATATATGTGTGTGTGTGTGTTTGTGTATGTGTGACAGCTATAGGGATAGTTATTTCGTCTTTATTGTACTTATACATAAGCTGAAATTTTTACCAATATATTATTCCTCTGTATCCCATCTCATATCCTTCCTTGTGTTAATGCGGGCTTTTTCGAACTTTATGATCTGTCAATGTGGCGCAATACTTTTAATCAGTTTGGTCTATTCAGAATCGTTGCTATAAAACTGCACGTATTTTGAGCGAATAACCTGTCATAAAGTTTTTGATATATCGCATTACATTCAAGACCCCCAGACGACAAGTCTGTTCGCTCAAATAATTTTCCGATTGCCACCTGGTTGGGTGACTGTTTGGTCACATGATGAAAAGAACAGCCAATGTCTAACTTGATATTGTCAGCTTCTAATGGCTGACACGCTGAGAAGTCAGGAGCCGTACTCGGTCTGTATTCGTCGAATCGGAGAACAGTATGCTTAAGAAAAAAAAAGGGAAAAAAAAAGAAAAGAATTCATGAAAAACAAAGAAAAGAAAATGATTGACACAATGTGAAAAAAAAAGACAGAAATGTCAAAAAGGTGATAATGATGAAAGACACAATGGGGTGGGAGGCAGCAGTCAAGAAAAGTGAACAAAAGCAGTGTAAAATTATAGAAATACAATCTATAAAAGAAAGCGAATAAGAGGAAGAAATTGTCTAAAGAAGACAACAAATTTAGTAATGCTGATACTATCAGATTCTGTATAAGGAAACATCCGGTGTTCATTGACCAAGTAACCAGTGCTACATCCGGTTAAAAGATATACAGTCTTTCTCTTCCAATAATTTTTCATAAAAAAACAATATCTTTCTCAGCTCCTGCAATTATTATCATTCTTTCCATTATTGATGATGGGGGATTTCTTCCTAACCTTTCCTTTGAAATCTTGTGGAATTCTAACCTCTTAATTATGACATTATTTGTGTTGCATGTTCTATCCATTTTAATTGTTGCTGCTATTGAAAATACTCAAGCGTTGTGCTCTGTAGCCCCAGACCACAAGGTTCGAAGAAGCAGGACCCTCGTTAAGACCAACGAGTTTCTTCACTCAAATCTATTTTGACTGCTGAGCTGGGGGAAACGGTTGTATACAGCGGTGTTTAGATATTTCTGAACGTGTTTAATGTCAACACATGACATCCATATGAAAGTGTCGATTTTAGAAAACTGCTCAAGTTTTAAGCTAGTGCTTCGGTTTTACAGCAATTTGCATAGTTGGGTAGATTAGCTCTAGCTCTGTGTATTCACTTCTATGCATAATATCCTAAACTCAGCCTATTCTATTTTATGTTTAATTTCCTAAACGCAGCCTATTATATTCTATGTGTAATTTCCTAAATGCAGCCTATAATATTGTATGCGTAATTTCCTAAATGCAGCTTATTGTAGTCTATGTTTAATTTTCTAAATGCTGCCTATTCTGTAATAAATTTCCGAAACGCGCCTAATCCTATTCTATGCTAAATTCTAAGAACTTCCTATTCTATTCTATTTAAATTCCTCTGAGCATCTTATTTTATTCCATGCCAACCCTATTCTAAACTATGTTTAATTTCCTAAACGCAGCCTATTATATTCTATGTTTAATTTCCAAATGAAGCCTATTCTATTGTATTCTATGTTTAATTTTCTCAAGGCTGCCTATTCTGTTCTATGTTTAATTTCCCAAACGCAGCCTATTATATTCTATGTTTTATTTCCTAAATGAAGCCTATTCTCTTCTATGTTTAATTTCCTCAGTGCAGCCTATTTTCTTCTATTTTTAATTTTCTAAATTCAGCCTACTCTATGTTTAATTTCATAAATGCAGCTTATTCTATTCTATGCTAAATCCTAAGAACTTCCTATTCTATTCTGTTTAAATTCCTAAGAGCAACTTATTTTATTCCATGTGTAATTTTCCAAGCCCATCCTATTCTATACTATGTTTAATTTACTGAGCACTGCATATTCTATTCTATGTCTAATTTTCTAAGCCTCACCTGTACTATTCTATGTTTAATTTCTTAAATGCAACCTATTTTATTATTTGCGTAATTTCCTAAGCACAGCCTATCTTATGTTTAATTTCTTCATCTCCTATATGAATGGGGTTATAAATATAGAATAACACATGAACACATAAGCCATTAGGTTTTCTTTGCTCAGCTAAACCTTATTTAATGAAGAAAAAAGTTACAAAAAGAAAATGAGGAAAATTTGAAGAAGTGACAATAAAACTGTAAATAGCAAACATATTCAAACGAAGACGAAAATAAAGTGAGAGAAGGAAGATACGAATAAAATGTAGGATAAATGAAGAAATCCAAGTACGAATGTAGATGAGATTATTTTTTTTTTTATATTTTTAGAAAGAGAGGAAACTAAGGGAAAACAATGCGTGAGCGCTATAATGATCTATGTTGTTATTTTTGTCCAGCGAGTTGATGATATGAGACAAAGAATCTGACAGTTTGTGGCTGCAATGGGCGAAAAAAAAAAGGACTTCGCATTGCAGTAAGGGCGACGCTGGACGCTGGGTCCCAGGCGGCAGTGTGCGAGAGGCTGTGACACACTGAGGCAGATTAAAAATCTAGAGTGTCAAAAAGATCGTTGTGGAACAGATGCGATGAATACGGTGACGAGGTGTAGGAGACAGGCGTGTCGACACCTTTATCCATGTCTTGCACGAAGTAAAACAAAAGGAGAAAAAAAAATTGAATGAAAATAGAGTAAAACCAAAAAAAATATTAAAAGACTCTCACAGGAGAAAAAGTAAGATATGAAAGACGCAAGAGAGTGTTACATGAAAAGATGTAAAATAGAGCAAAAGGAAACTGACAGAAGATAACTGAAGGGAAAGCTAAAGAGCGTGGTCAAGCTTAAAAGACATGGAATATAATGTACAAAAAGTGAATGGCAGGAAATGTTGAAGAAATCGGGACAGAGCTGCCAGAAGAAAATCAGAAGAAAACAATGTCTGTAAAAAGAGACGATGTCATTATAGATAAGATGAACAAAGGAATATGTTTTAGAAAATCGTTAAAGCCTAAAGCCGTAAATATAAAAATAATCACCTACGTACACACGAATCTGACCGATTCTTTTCCAATATATATATATATATATATATATATATATATAGGCAGAGACATTTCTTTTATACATGTTACTTTGAATACAAGACATTCAACATCATCACTTGATAAGACACCGGAGGTGTTGAAACAAAATGGCTACTTTTGTAGTGATTTTATAACATATTTATGTTATAATTTTTTTAAATATATAATTATATCTGCTGTACTCTGTATTGAGCACACTTTTAAGAATAGTAATAGTTGGTTATTGGAATTCATTCCATATACACCAATTATATACTTATATATATATATATATATATATATATATATATATATATATATATATATATATATATATATGTGTGTGTGTGTGTGTGTGTACAGTGCTGTTCGATAAAAGTGATTCACCTGATTTTTTTTACTAAAAATATTTTTGTCGATTGTTTTTGGGGTTAAAATAATTTTTAATCTTGCTAATATAAAGACCCCTTCCCGACCACCTAGGAAAAAAAGTTTATTCACCCTAAGGTATTCTATTGATAATTATAAATTTGGATATAAATGAGATTCAGGAAAAACCTCTGTGCAAAAAAAAGTGACTCAGAAATCGCATTCTAATGATTAAACTGGTAAATTTAAAGAGCTTTTGACAAAATATTGAAAACTATTTTACAATACACCCAGAACAATATTCTAGAGAATTCTAGAACATCTTAAATTAAATCTAGAGTATTCCAGATTATTCCAGAAAGCCTCATACAGTATAAAAACAGCTTGAAATAGCCACTCAGAACAACTTAGGGCATCTATTATTGCCCTCTCAAAATCAGTCAAGTTTACGAGAGAAATTGCAGAAATTGCTATAACCTCGCAATCAACTGTCTCTTGAGTGCGTAGGGCACATAATGATGCCACGCCTGCTCCAAGGAAGGAAACAAGGGGACGAAAGAAAAAGATTGATGATAGAACTGGCAGGGTAATCAAGAGAGAAGTTGCGAAGAATAGAACTATAACTAGCCAAGAAATTGCAACCAGTCTAAGCGAAGAGCAATGTGTTCGTCTTGCCTCTTCAACAGTCTGTCGGTGGCTGTTAGAAGAAGGCTACTAATCTTGTACACGAAAGTTTAAGCCACTAATAAGCAAAGCCAACAAGGCCAAGAGACTTGAATGAGCTCACTATCACAAAAATTTCACCGTAAAAGACTGGAAGAAGGTTCTCTTCTCCGATGAAACGAAAGTTGAGCTAAATTCAAAGGATAAGCGAGCTAAAATCCGAAGAAGAATCTTTGAAAGCTCTTTGAATTTAGCAGTAAGTACTGTCAAGCATCCGTTCAGTATAATGTTCTGGGGATGCTTTTCTCTTCATGGAACTGGTTACTTAAAACCTATCGAAAAGACCCTCAGGAGCGAGCAGTACTAGAGAATTTTAGAGTCGTTTCTGCTCCCTTCTACATAAAGGGTGCAAATCGACCCCACCAAGCTCATTTTTATGCAGGATAATGCTCCCTGTCACAAATCAAAATTGATGAAGGAATACTTTGATGAGAAGCAGGTGAGTGTTATGACATGGCCGCTCCAATCTCCTGAACTCAACCCCATAGAAAACTTATGGAGCATTATAAAGTACAGGCACTCGAGAAAGCAGCTGAGCAACAAAGAGGGTTTGATTGTGAATTTCATATCCGAATGGAATTCAATGCTTGGAGATGAGATGTCAGAACCTAATCAACTCAATGCCAAAAAGGTTTGAAAACATTATTCAAAATAAAGGAGGACCCATAAATTATTAAATATTTCGAACTATATTACCTATTAAATAATATAAATAATATAAAGGATATAAATATAAATAAATTATAATTCTATTATTCTTCATTTAAAACTGTTCGGTTATGTTTCTATTGATTACTAGTTGCAGGAAATAAGTGAGTCACTTTTTTTGCACAAAGTTTTTCCCTAAATCTCTTTTATATCCATAATTATAATTATCACTAGATAGGGTGAGTAAACTTTTTTCCTAGGTGGTCGGGAAGGAGTCTTTATATTAGTAAGATTAAAAATTAGTTTGTCCCCCCCAAAATAGGCGAAACATTTTTAAGTAAAAAAAAATCAGATGAGTCATTTTTATCGAACAACACCGTATATTCAGTTGTATGGTTATTAGATTGTGACCCTGAATGTAACGCTCTTGAAAACATCAGGACGCATATATATATATATATATATATATATATATATATATATATATATATATATGTCCTGACGATTACGTCCAGCATGAAACAGCTTGTCGTCTCTTAGCGTTGACTTCAAATTTCAGTTTTATATATATATATATATATATATATATATATATATAGTGAGTGTATTTAGGCAGCCTTTTTTCATTAATGCATGTTTTGTTAAATAATATAAACATGTTTTTTTTTCTATTTATTTTAAGTAAATTCCTTTCTTATTGTCGAAAAAAGCTTTTTTAGCATTATCAATGAAACACGAAAAAAATCACCATGTTGCTACATTGTTTTGTTAAACTTTCGTCTTACAGAGACCATCATGAGTGATTACAAGTACATTACAATAATTAAATAATAAATTGAATAACAAAGATGGTAATTTTTGTTTTAGATTGCCTATAGTTTATTTATATATATATATATATATATATATATATATATATATATATATATATATATATATATATATATATATATATATATATATGAAGAAATATAGTTTTAAGGTGAGCTATATTCACGGGATAAAGTGCTCAATATCAAGAATAGAGCGTATATATATATATATATATATATATATATATATATATATATATATATATATATATATATATATCGTGTGTGTGTGTATCTGTGTCTGTGGTATATTTAACTACGCAGGTTGCCAAATGATGGAGCTCCCCAAAGCAATGCATTGATCAAGTATAAATACCTGCTCTCTAACTTCATTCAAGAAATCACGCACATTATACAATATCATATATATATATATATATATATATATATATATATATATATATATATATATATATATATATATATATATATATATATGCAGACACGCAACCGTCTGAGTTGAATAAGACTGAAGTACTTTTATGTTCTGTTATAATAAATATACTGAGTTCTTTCTGTGGATCAGTTTTAATATTTTATAGTATCAGGACCCACTTGAATTATATGCCAACGGATTTTTTACCTGTACTATATATATATATATATATATATATATATATATATATATATATATATATATATATATATATATATACTGTCACAGCAAAATTATCCAGATCATGTAATAGCTTGCGTTAATTCTTCATCACAAAAAATGTTTAATATCTAAAAAAACACTCAACTAAATGACTTTCTTTTTCTCAGGTTTTCAGTTATGAAGTTCAGCCATCTTGATACCATTTTTCGTAAGATTCACAGAAAAATCATTTTATCTAGAAAGAGAACAGGTTAAAATCGTTTTGTATTAGGTCCACTATTTCTTCCCGACTGAGCAATGCTGAGACGGAAAAGATCTATCAGGTACAGTAATGGTACCAAAATTCATACAATAGCTTCCATCTTTAAATTCCAACAGCAAGAGCGATCATAATTTCAAATGAGAGCTAAATATATTTTTGTTTTTCAAAGTAGAGTCCAATAGAGAATTCCAGTAAGATATGTTTAATCATTTCTATTATACAGCAGTACAAAGCTTAATCTAACAATTGTACAATTTTGCTGTTACACCCGGCACACACACACACACACACACGCATTTACACACATACATACACACACACACACACACACACACACACACACACACACCGTTTTAATAATCCTTCTTTCCGTTTTTTTTTTGTTTTTTTTCACTCAAATTTCTTTATTGGGTTTAATATGTTGAAAAAAGACCAAAGTTGTTGATTTTGCCGAGCGCTTTTGCTTTTGTCGTCAACCGACATCATGGCTATAGGTTTTGATTTGAATTAGGTTCCTTTTTATTTTTGATTTTGTTTTTATAGATATTTTGGGGTATTCAGGCAGTGTTGTTGGCTTATTTCATCAGCAGTTGGGAAAGGCTTAGCTTTTATCATGTGGCGGATTAGTTATTAAATATATTTAAGATGGTTGTGCTAGTTTTAAATCCTATTTTATTTATGCCGTTTTTTTTGTTTTTTTTAATAATGATGGCTTCAATTTGTAAGCGTTTTTTTTTTTTTGCAATTATTTTTGTAGAGGATTTTGGTATTGTTGATTAGGAGTTTTTTTTTATTTCGGAGGATTTGAATCTGTTATTGGTCGTTCAGAGTGTTGTTAAAAGGTGGTGATTATGGCACTAATGTTATTAAGATGATGTATAAGACGACGTGAGAGATGTCATTGTGTGTCCTATGTAGCGTAAAGGCAGACAATACCTTATTTTGCTTTTAGTAATGTGGCTTGTATGATAGATATATGTGTATGGTATGCTCACAGTAATTCTCTTTTATTCCTAAGTCATAAGGGCATGGTAGTCACGTAACATTTTTTAGATATCTAACAAGGGTATACTTTGTAGAAATAAATGTATTCGCACTTTTTTCAATGGAATTCGTCATAAGTGAACGTAAGAAAATTCAGGTGGAAATCATATACGGTTCGCTGCTATCGTACATCCGACGGCTTAATCTGATGTAACACCACACTTTTGAATGCATATGAGAAACAAAATCTAAATTAAAAGATAAAAAGCAACAATGTGACATATAAGCAAA